CAATTCAGCCACGCCTGATTATTAATCTCTTTACGCAATATTTACGATGCCTAAATTAATCAAAAAAGACATTAATTTAATATATTTATTATTCGTACTAAAAAATACTAATTAGTAATAAATTATTTTACTATCTAATTTGAATACATATCTAATAAATTTCAGGCACATTTGAAACGAGTATATACATTTTTGTTTCCTATTATGATATATAAGCAACAGCAAATTAATAGACTGTCTGGGAAACGCAAGGGCTGGCAGCTACCTTGACCCATGCATTAGCATAGCCATACAAAGGGGGAACGCATGCACACGCTGCCAGCATCTTGGGCACCTTGCCGCGGGGACGCAATTCATATAATTTTATTGTATCTTTCCTGTACATTATCATAATAAAAAGTAATAAGTTTAGCATACAGCACTTAAGCAGCATTTTACTCTGAGTTATACACATACAAGGTGAAAAAATCAATGTAACATAAAGGAGAACTGCCTGAAATGGTTAAGATAGCTAATTTTACTTACCTAAAGGATTCTAAAATTTTTCTTATTAAAAATAACTGCATTCCCGGAATTTTCGAATAGCATCCGATGTTCATTTGAGATAATTATCTTCATCATTGATGCTATAAAACTCAAACTCAAAACTCGAATAGACTTTATTTCATAAGTAAGCAATTTATACTTGAAATCGTCATATTGATTAAACTCTATTGCTAAATAAACATTTGTGCACATTTATAATTTGTAATATTTATTTCATTGCCATAGATCGAGACTGCCTGGAAGAGCTAAAAGCAGAAGCTCAAAAAGAACGTTCTATAAAGTTTTTATTTTACTATAATTTTAACCGGATTAAAATAGATTAGTGCATTAAAAACAGTGAGTGAATATTTTGTGCTTTTTTAGTTGGTACATTTCTCAGCTCAAGTAAGCTTTTCAAAAAATTTGTTAATGCAGTTATTAATTTTAATAACAATAAAAGTCAGAGTTATAATATACGTAAATTAATATCTCATTGATTTTTCCATCCTGTATAAACTTGTGTAGAAGTATGTAAGTTATCTTTCTTAGTTTAACTCGTACATAACCTGCATAACATCGTCCACCCTAAATGTGACTAATATAGGGCGACATATGTTAAACGTCGATACTATAATTTAACACATAAATTATTTTATATTTTGTACATTTAATATATTTCTTTCAAAATCAAATCATTATTTGTTAGCGATATTTGTAAATTACTAAATACAGAACTATGTTACTAACACCTTAAACAACAGCTTTTGTTGCCTTCAAAAATAAATATATTTAAATACTAACTGTGCGGCAACAAAAGTAAACACTAGTCCGATGCAAATCGCTGGAGCGGGTGTGGGGGTCGTCAAGGAAGACGCTTGCAAGTTTAAACATACCATAGCCCAGTTTTAGAATATTGAAATTTGTTAGGGTAAGTTTCGATGAGTCGAGTCGTTAGTTTGTGCTCTATCTTTTGTTATTTAAAACGGATATTTGACTATTTGTCACTTTTCACCGCGTTTTCGTTAGTGTACGGCAGAATTATAGTCCTGTGAGGTTGTTAGTATTCAACAAACAATTAAAATAAAATTACAATGACAATCAGGCTAGCGACGCAAGTACTTTAGAATTACCTCTAGACAATAGATTAGAAAATTAGAAGATTATTTTTATATTTGAAAGGTTATTATTATATTTGATGAGACAGAATATAAAAAATAACACAAGATCTTACAGTACAAGTCGTGAATTGCGAAATCTATTAAAAGCATTTGACATTCGTCCGATTCACTCTTGGCTATCTTTCATGTTAATAACTCTGTCGGTTATGCTACCTATTTAAACGCTGACCATTAGAGATTTTATGCCATATCGACTACGCACTCCGTTCTGGCAACATCGAAAAAGTTGCATAATTTTTGTGGTTTAGGTACGAAATTTAAAAAAAAGTGAGAGTGCAATTTTGAATAAATTTAACAGTGACTGGCTGTTTTAAATTTTTCTAAAAGTAACAGTGTACTTTCATAGTGTATTACGAAAGGTATAATTAACAAATTGGTAAACCTATTTATTATTATCATTGACCTATGTATTTTATCTAAGCCTGTATATCGTTTCCTACGTATTTTAAATAAACATTTTACATTTTGTGTTTTATTGATATTACAACATTTTTGACAAGAAAACAATAAGTTAATTAACAAAATTAGTTATTATTAGCACTTATAACTACTGATATATGTATATAGAGTGTATTTTTAAATGGGACTGTATGGTCATAGAAGATACAAGGAAATTGTCGCAGGAGTGATTAAGTCTTTTTTTGTGAAAATAATTTTGATATTGTGAATTTTTTGGTCAGGCGTGAGTTATCAAAAAAATGAATAAAATTGATAAAAAAAATTCTAGTGCTGATCGACTCAATTCTATGTAAGGATCATTTTATTGTACGGGATAAAAAAATCGGCACTGCAGAATTTTGTCAAATTTCATAAAATGTTTTGTGTATGGAATGATCCCATCATGAAACTGAGTACAAAAAAAATGTTACTCATTTTTATGGACAACTCACGCTTGACCAAAAAATGAACTATGCAAAAATTGTTTTCCCAAAAAAAGACTTAATGCTGCCTAAGACTGATTCCTTGTATCTTGTACGGTTTCGGATTTCCCCATATAGTCCCATTTAAAAATATATACTATCTTAGTAAAGGAACTAATTAAAACATTTGACTAACAAGGTTTTCTAAAATATGTTTACAATAACTAAAATGTATCGCACCCTTCGAGTAATAAGGTCACATATGCAAAATGATAATTTTTGAGCAGAGATGTAAAGATTCCGAACGAAATTAATAGATAACGTTTCACATATACGTAATTTCAAATACCTAGTTAGTATTATTTTTACGACGTTGATGTGATGAAAGCACTTTTGACGTATGTGACTTTATTATACCGAGGCTACGATATGGACTTCGTAAGTATGTTCTACAGAGGGCATCTTAAGTACCACTATCAAGGCATTGAAAATATCCAATGTAGACATTTTTGACAATAAAAAAAGCACCAAACCGCACCCCTCATGGAAGAATGGCGTAAGTGGAGTTACGTCAAAAACGTTTATTGCTCCATTAGATATAAAAAAAATATAACCCACATCCTCTCTAACTTTTGTAACTTATAATATTGAAACGTTTTTGACGTAACTCCACATATGCTATTCTTCCATGAGGGGTGCGAAATGTAAAGAAATCAACCAGTTATCTGTGATATGAGCATGCAATGTTAGGCAGACACCACATTTATCGGAAGTTAGTCAGAATTTTTTTATGTTCATGCAATAAGAGCGAAAAAGACGCCTTACTGCCGCCAACGCCGATTCATGTTAGTAAGTATAATGCCTCCCTTTCGGTGCTATTGTGTAACTTACTTTTCTTTTGAAGTCTTTCGACGTGGCATCGTCACTTTTTTTATGCCATATCACAGATACGATACAGATGAATTGCATCACAATTATGTATTAACTATAGATTTAAGACGATCACTTAGCTTTTATCACTAGTTATAGGTTTCTTACCATGGTATGACTTATTATTCTTTTCCACATACCTCAAAGAGGTATAGGATACCACATTTCAATGTCGAGGACTACCTTCTTACTTCGTGACTATAGAGCATGTGACCATTCTAAAATATCGGGAGAAGTGGCAAGAAATCTATATCTGTTGATATTCGTTTGCATATAAATTCCTTGTGAAGTTAAGATATAGTCCGTGCAGGCGCAGACTGACTTACGTTGACCTTTAGAATGTATTAACAAGTTAACAAGCAGTCGCGCATTGAACAGGTTAATGTTCATAAGAAACATCAGCATGGAACCCCTCAGGTCCGGCGGAATAGTTAACATTTTGCATCCTACCATCGGGTAATAACACGTGGTAATTGCCGTTGGTTTTCGAACCATGCTTAGTCTCACGATGGCCAAAGTCGTTCCCGCTAATGTGGTCTCGTACTCTGTAGCCGAATTCGTAGTTTGCAGCGTAGTGGAGCTGCAATAGAAAAGGCTTTTGAGTACAATTTTCCTGAGTACTGATTGTTTAGAGCTAGCCATTTAATAAAAACGGAGTGGGGAAGATCTGTGTTTATTTATGAGGCTAATGGATTTGTAGCCAAAGCCCTATAAAAATGTGTTTTAGTAAGCCATAGTTTTTTATAATACAATTGCACTTGAAATCGTCATACTGATTAAACTTTACGGCTTATTCGTAAAGCAGATTTCCGTGAGAAGTTACTCTTCGTAAATAATAATAAACATTTGAGTACATAGCGTAGAAACAGAGTTCTCCTCTCGGATTTGGGAAATGGTGGCCTTAGTAAACTTTTTCAAACCATAGTTACGAAACTAGAATACAAAAAGCACCTTTGCTAAAAAAAACATGGTTGTGGCCCACTTATGCATAATAATGTTAGGTTCGATGATTGTGTTTTATTTGCGAAGTACCATATTACTTGCGTTATTATATTTTAGTCGTTACACAGGGTTAACTACCGTCATAATTGACCACTGAGAACTTTTACTAAAGGGTATTAATAAAATTTTAAGGTTCCTGTAATTATATTTGACATGTAATAAAAAAAATAACATTGTTTGTGATAGGAAATATTAGAAAGTGGTAGTTGAGTATTTGAAATTTATATATCGTGAACTGCTATGATTATAGAGTGAATGTTGCTTACATCTTAGGTCTGCGATTAACTACAATGTTAAAAGATAATTAATTATTGCTAGACATTGCGTAAGAGCTATTGCAAGAGCACATATGTGTTTATAATGTTTATTGTACAAGAAAATAAATAATAAAAATGTAACTTAATTTGTTTTTCGTTTTTAATTTAATTCATTCATTCAATTGACTGCCACGCAGAGGTCCCAGATTCGATTCCTGGTCCGGGAGAAAAATTTGTATGGCCTACATTTATTTCTCTCGTGAGTTTGGGTGTGTGGTTGTCTATGTGTGTGTCCATGGCACCCGCGACACAGGGTTTCCCTAGTGCGGGCTATGTTGAGTGTGTGCGTTATTATTATTATTAATTTGGTGTTCTATACTCGTTATAAATAATTAAGGTAGATAAAATTAAACAGGCAAAGATGTTAATTATATCACATATAATATTGTAATGTATTTTGTTGTATATTTTAACGTGTAATTACATGACTTCGGTAGTGTATTTAAAAAAAAAGCAATTTTAAGAAAAAATATAATTATTTTGCTTCGATTTTTTTGCCTTTTATTTTCTAACTTTTCGAGATTTAAAAGGGAGGTATTAACCACCGCATATGAATTATTAGAAATTTTGATAAATCCAGTCCATCTGAAATATTACAAATACGTAGAAACTTATCCAGTTATTAGGTTTAAGAGATTGTTACCCATAGGAAATGAAACTATTTTTAGCCGACTTCAAAAAAAGGAGAAAGTTGTCAATTGAACTGTATCTTTTTTGTATGTGTGTTATGCGATTCCTCCGACAATTCTGAACCAATTTCGATGATTATTTTTCTGGTGGAAAGGAGGTACTATTCAAATTTGAATAAAATATTTCTAAGGGTGGCAAATTGTAGTCCTAAATCTGGTTTATAGAATTTTACTCACTTTCCGGTCTACCTTTGGAGGTCGGTTTCCTTTTCGGTTGTAAAAAAAAGTTATATTTATTTTTTTCGGACCGAGTCAGCCGTGACGTGAGAGTCAGTTGTTTGAAAAAACAAATACACGCGCTTTAGATCCGAAAAAATAATTTAATTTCCTATGTAGAAGTTTTAATAACAACACAAGAATGTCACCAGACATATTACAGCTACATTTATCAAATTGGTTTATAATTACCATTAATCAATCATTCTTTTTAACAACACTAAGTATCAGAAACATAAATACGTTATACTTCGTAGTTATATAATTAAGTAACTATTAAGAAAATAACTAGAGCAAGTCATCTATAGTAGGAAATAACGAAAGTTAAGGCAGTCCGAAACATTCGTAACATTTTTTGCGAAAGTTATTTCCTTACATAGGTTTTAACTCATATTGTACATAATAAAGTAGCACTCTGTATGTTAACATAATTTACTTCCGAAATACAGGGCGATAATAAGACAAAAAGATAATAATTTACAGTGAGAATATAATTTATTACTTAAGTATTACTTAGTTTCTAAATAAACAAATATAAATTAACTTTATAAATCAAGAACTTAAGTTTTACAAATAAATAGCATTGCTGTATTATATTGAACTTAGAATTGTTTGGAACAATTTGCAGTGATCTGCAATTAAATATTTACTGTGCCATTAGGTGATCATATGAACTTTGAAAATACGGTATGAAACAGTATGTAGGAATGTATCATTTTTTGAAACACAAGCCATATTTAAAAAAATTGTTAACACTCCACGACAACAAACTTAAATGGAAGCCCAGCCAACGCTACAAAACAAAAAACCAAAGAGATAGAATAGAGGTGTCCGTGATTGGCCAAGTACTGCTTTTAATTTAACTGATCAGGTGACAGTAGAGCTTTTGAGTGGCGTCATATTTGATATTTTATATTGTTCTTGAATAGTATTTTTGCCAAACGGTTACACTTATGTGTCTGTTTATGTAATATTTTGTGATATTATTTAATAAAATATATAATTCCAATTTAAATAATTTCACAAATTTAGTGACGTTATTCTGTTCGGGAACATAGTGACGCGTTTAGGGAGACCCTTTTAGTTAGCAAAAATACGACGTCATTTTTTTGAAACTTCAATGAAATTTTTTTGTTAGCAGCGAACATCATAGACTATACAATTTTCATTCAGAACTAAACAGAGCACCTTTGTGACATGGGTTATGAAATTATAACTGACAGGATAGTTTCAAATAAAAATGAATTTTAATTGTAATAGTTTTACGGTATTGGATTAAATCTACCAAGACAAATCTTTAACATTTTTTTTAAGTGGGGGCTGTATTTAAAATATTTTTAATCCACCTCAAAAAAAGAAGGAAGGTCTCAATTCGACTCTAAGTTTCCTTTTTTTTTTGTATGTGTGTTACGCGATAACTCCGGTGAACCGTTGTAAACCGATTTTGATGATTCTTTCTTTGTTGGAAAGAGAGTACCTCAATACTAGTTGAAGAAAATATTCCACCTCTAAGGGTGACAAACTGGGAGATGAATCCGGTTTCGCGCACTTTCAGGTAGCTGAATTCAATAAAACTTGGCAAATAGATGTAATTTTAGTACTCTGAGACTATTAGCCGGTATTTTCGTGAACGTGACATATCTCTTCATAAGTCTTCGTGTTCTGTGGCTGTGCAGGTACTTTTCGAGAATAAATATTTTCGTTTTAAATTTTACCTAATGCAACAGGTATCGTGGTTGCGAGTTTCAGTTCAAAGTAGATACTAACTTGATTCTCTTCTTATAGGTAATTGCTTCCCAAATTAGATGTACCTATTTAGAGATGTTACATGACATGACGTATAATTTACGAAATGAAAGTTTTTTTAAAGAGTTACTCGTTTCACTTATAGGATTTTCAATTTGCGCAATTTACCAAGATTCTTTCTAACATGTCTAGGTCTCGAATACCTGTTTCTATGTTTCCTAGGACGTCTAGAATGTCTAGGACGTGTAGGATGTTTATCTTTATGCGGCTGATGTATATCGAAATGTTGTATATTCAAATTACTATCACCGATTAAATGTTTTAACTGGGATTGAGTTAACATGTAGACTGGTTCTATGAAATCCGGGCTAGAAATTGGATTGCCATATTTTAAGGGAACACCATATGATCCTTGTGGAGGCCCATAGATAGGAATAGGAGTTGGGTTCGGATAAAATTGTTTTGGAGGTCCGTATGTGTCTTGGATAGGAACACCGTAGCTGTTCTGTGGACTGTAAGTAGCATAGTTCTGGTAATTTTGATTTTGAAAGGACGGGCGATGAAACCTTTTATATTTTTTCGAAAAGCTGCTTTGTAAATCGCCTTGATTGTAAGCTGAAGAAGGAGCATAGTTTTGGAATCTATTTTGGTCGGAAGAATGTCGGGGATTTTCTTCGTAATCGGTATCGTAGTCATCACTGTCGTCATCATATTCCTCCTCCTCCTCCTCCTCATCATCATACATTGCATATTTATCATTACTATTAAGACTAGGAGGTCTAAACCTTGTGTCTATGTAGTTATTTAAGTCATATTCAGTGGCAACACCTATTGGAAAGTTTGGAGTCGTCAAAAATGTACTTAATTGCTTATTAAGCCGTTGTTGTTCATTATTGAAATAATTTACTCTTAATAAGGGTTCGGCTTTAGGAGTTTCATTTAGACTAGAAGCTATTGGGGATTCAGTTAAAGGGTCTATTGTAGAGGGAAGTACAAATGGATCGGAATCTAATTTCTCAGTAGATCTTGCCTTTCTAGTGTTATTATCTGTCTTAATACGATTTTTTCTGTCAGATATACTTACATCACTATCACCGTACGCTGAAACTCCACTACCGTCTTCATTTAAATGTTGAATACCTACATGTTGAGCGTTATGATGTAAATATCTTTCACTCGAATCTGTTTCTTGCCCATAATACGTAGGTTTTGCATATTGCAAAGCTTCGTACGTAGGCTTATCTTCATCTTTATAATAGTAATGTATTCCATTAGGTTTGTATGGGGCACTAATAGTCTGACTAGCAACTTCTACTTTATAGTAATTATTATTTTTAGTTGTAGTTGTCTCTATAGATTTATCTGCTTGTGTAGCCAATACTGGTTGTACACCATAGTGCTTAAATCTATTATTTTTATTAGGATCTTCAAAATCATCTATTTCCTCTGTTATTGGTGTATGATCCTTAACAGGATTTGTGTAAGCACTGGCGTAAGTTGGAAGTATCTGATCATATATTGACTGCTCAGCATATTTAGGAATAGTATGTGAATCTTTCATATAGAAATATAGATCTATAGGAGTGGTTAGACTAGTTTTTGTCGGTTCTCCTAATGAGTACTTTTCGGAGTTGATTAAGGCGTTAAATCCAGTCAATTGTTCAGTCGCTGGTTTATTCAATAACGAATTCAGAGCATCAATTTCATGAGCAGATTGGTAGCTATGCATCTGTCCGTATTGTTTAGGGTAAATGTAATGTGTTTCGCTTGGTATAGCTGCGGTATATAGCATTAAATCTTCAGGGCTGGCAGTACTTTCTGGAAACGTTTTCAATCCATTGTTTCCATTAGGTTTTATAGTTACTCCTTGATCGTAAGTAGGTCCTGGTGCAAGGCTGATAACGGTTTGAAATTTTTTAGGTTGTAAATATTGTTTATACTCAACAGACCCATGAGATCTATGGTTTCTGGTATTCTCTTTCAAAACTGCATCTTCTTTTGTTATTTGGACTAGATCAAGGTCAGATTTCATCCGTTTCGCTTGTCTTACATCATCTTTGATACCTCTTTTATTATGTCTAACATTGCCATCATCAGATTTGATTCCTCTCTGTCTAGAATTGTGTATAACTCTAGGTCTTGGCGGTGCTTTCGTAACAGCCACATGTTTGTTATCTTTAAAATGTAGCTGCTCTAAAGCTAATTGGTGATTTTCTTGACTTTCGTGGTATGCTTTCATGTAGCTATCTTCTTGTTGGGGCGCTTTTGTCCATCTCTGAAGCTGAGCTCTGTGTTGCCTTACACGTTCGGCATTGAACATCGCTTGCTGATTTTGTGCATGTAGTCTAGCGTTTTGCTTCGAATTGCCAGCTAAAGGATTCCCGTATGGCAATATACCTGAAGGTTTGAACTTATCATCAACTCTGGATTGCTCATTGATGACTTCGATGACAGGTCTGGAGTTTGTTTTTGGAGGTATACATATTGTCATGTGTAGACTGACCAGAAGTAACGCGGTGATGTATGTCGTGTGTTGTCGTATGGGCGCCATTTTGATCTGAAATTAAAAAAAATGTGTTAGCAAATAACTTTAAAAGGAAAATTGTTGTAGTTTTTTTAATAAAACCGTTACTATACAAAAACTGCCAGAATCGAAATATTAGAAAACTGGAGTTAATAACATACTCTATCATTCGTCTTGTGAGTTTTCGAAAGTCACGTAAAAGAACTTTTCTTAGAATCCATTCTATTGCTAAAATCCATTCCAATGTTATCGTTTTACCCATGGAATCTGTGGATGGCATTTTTTTTACAATATCAAGGGACGGGACGAACAAGTCGCGCGCCTGATGGTAAGCTACACGTCTGTCCATAACAGTTGCAGTGCCAACCACCTCTTTAAATCGCATAGATATGAGGCGCACTCCCACTGCGCCCGTCACCCTGACACATAAGTTGACGAGTATCATGTGCCTGTAATTTCATTACTATTCAAAATCAGAACACAGTAATCCTGACATGAAATAGATAAGGTTTTTATTATGTTCAGAATCTGTTGGGGCTATCGCGCTGCTGCAGAGCATCAACAACATTAGCGGAAGCACATACTAATGGCTTCCGTTCCATAATAAGAAAGCGACAAGTCTCTTTGATGCAGTGGGTGCCAAACAGGAACAACAGCCTCCTGACCATAGTGGCGGACAGAGTTGATGGTCCGTTTAACGAACGCTATAACTCACTACTCATGTAGTAACCTCGAATTAGGCTGCCAAATAAATACAACCAAACCAAAGTTTGTTAGGTACTAATTACATAATCTACTCGTTTGATATATGTCACTATAATTAATATTTATGATGTAATTTATATGTATGATGTCATTAATACGTAATGTCATTAATAAATCAGCGTATTATAATGGCTTCTTTAAAAAATCTTTTGAGACACTTGGTAAGGATTGCAGGAGCATCAGCAGACTTTGTGGCAGTTTATAAGTTCCCATATCACATCACATAGAGAGAAATTTCGAAAAAAGTGTTTTTATATCCTTAACGTTGTTCCAATTGACATAAATCGACTCTGAGTTTTGCAACCCCAAAACCCAATCGATCCGTCTGGGTTTTAATCGGGTTTTTAGCCAAAGCGGCGGGTTTTAATCTATTTCTGCCCAAAATCGTGGACAGAAACGGCGAATATGGAATACGGAATAATTCCATATTTATTACATTTTTGTTTTTTTATGATACAAAGTGATGAGACGAATAAGTCGTGCGCCTGATGGTCAACGACACGCCTGTCCATAACAGCTGCAGTGCTACTCAGAACTTTAAATCGTAAAGATCTGAGATGCACTGTGTCTGGGCCCATCACTATGAGACATAAGTTGAAAAGTCCCATGTGTAATTTCACCAGCACCCTTACCCACAGTAATGTGAGCATTACTGCTTGGCAGCAGAAATAGGTGAGGTGGCGTACTTCCCTAGATGAACTCTCTCACAAGGAGAAAAAGAGGCAACTCGATACTAACCTTGCAATCCTGTGGATTCTCACTACTAAGTATGCACATTACGATTCGATGTTTACGAAAATCGATTCAAGGGCATACGATCTGACGATTTTTTGCATCGAATTATACTTCAATGCGATTTTCAAGCAAACCGATTCACTAGATAGACAAATGTTGATCTACTTCATCAGAAAACAATGCATTTTGTAATGATGTCATTAAATTTGAACAAAACTCAATTTACAAACAAATATTTAGTTTAAATCATTTTTGCCTTCGATTTAGGGTATCAGTGGGTTTGCCTGGCATTAACCAAGTGCCGGGTTAAAACCCGGGTACTTACCCATCTCTGAACAGGTGTGATACAGCGTTAACACTCTGTTTGAATATGAAATAATGACATAGTATTCGTTTCTGGTTGTTTATTTGTTTCCAGAGCAACGCCTTCACGTATTATCCCGTATTCCAATTACCCATTTAAGAAGTTAAAACATTAGCTAAATAGGTTCCATGTTAGAAAGAACATACATATAGTAGATAGATACATAAAAGAGGTAAGTTAGGGGCATCGTGCCCAGAAGACTGGCAAAATTTCCCCTTTCATTAGCTTCTTGGACATATTTTAGTAAAATTTTTCGATCTTCGGAACAAGAGCCGTCTAAGCCAGTGTTTCCCAAACATTGGTAATTTTCATATTGCTTCTTCGTTACCCACTCAATACTTTTAAACCCAAGCTGGTTATACTAACTAAAATAATACACATTTATTGTTAGTAAAAATGTTTTACTAATATTATTTCCGTATCGCCTATTTAGTGCGAAGTGTGGAACTGCTGCTTGTTTTTTACTAAAGAATCCAAGTTCGCGGAAAATGACGAAAGTTTTATCCTGAGGTCTTCCACACATTAGGAAACGCTGGTCTAAGCCATACTGCTGCCGTCTTAGATTTTCATTTTTCTTCAAGAACACTAATGTAACGAATTTTCAAAAAGGTTGTGTTTTTGGTTTGACACTATTGGTTTCCGTATAATTGAGTAGCAAGTATGTATGTATGTTTACTCTGTATGCGTTGGATCAGGAGGTCTGTTTCGATTCCAGGGAGGACCAAGTTGGGAATTAACTTTTTTAAATTGATTCTGTTCTGTATGTTGTAGGTAAGTAGCCTGGAGTGAATGCTCTGGTGCTCATAGGGAATTCCCTAGTTTGTTTTGCCTTTGATTGGCACAAATGCAGAAATTGGTCCTGTTCAATACGGCACGTATCATTCGCCCGTTCTTTAACCCCAGTCACTGACCTCGGAATACTATAATTCATAATTCATTTATTCATTGTCATGTGGATTAACATTTATTTACAATTAATTAATTAATCACCTCATTTAAATATTCAAAATTTGTGTTTTAGGCTATGGGAGAGACGGAAACGTAAAATACCGTAATAATAATAAAATTGGTTATTTTCTTCCATCATATCTATAGTAAATGTAACGTCTCCAAAAAGCCCAGGTTAACAGTGTCCTTAATCGATAAACGTGTATGAAAATGATGCGCATTGAAAGCTGCGTGTCAGGATTGTAGCAAGTGGAAGGCTGTTATGTTTGCCGGTCCCAATGGGAAAAGGGCATGCAGGATATGTATGTATGAATATAAGATGTATAGGTAATGTAATAGTTGTGTTATAAGTGAAAGGTGATGAGATAGGAGCTCAAACTAGGTTAGTTCTGTTGGTAAAAACAATTTAAACTCCGAATTTATGTAGTCTGCTATACTTTGAATATAATTCAGTAGGAATATATGCATGGAATGATTTATTATATCATATAACATGATTAACGTGTTCATTGAGCGTGTAACCGAGTTATATAAAATTATACTCATCTAGTCTGCCGTCAATCAAAATCTTTTAGTGTTCAGTCACGGAGAAAAGTGATCTGGTAATTTAATAAAATCAAAAAGGTGGTAATTGTTTATAGCACTGATGTGTGCGTAGTAGTGATGCAATAGACCTCTGCTTCTGCTTCCGCGACTGCGGAAGTTCCGCATGTGTCCGTTTCCGCTTCCGTAAATTTTGTAACGGAACTTTATTCAGAAGCTGTGGGGCGCGCGTTTTTTAGCAGTTTTGTCTAAACCAAAATCAATGCCCATTTAAACCTATTTTGTTGATATGTTCCGCATCCGTTTCCGCTAAGATTTACTTTTGACATCTATTTTCGTTTCTATTTCTAACTAGTGCACAGTCAAGTAATGCAATATTAATAAGTTTTAATGTAGATTTTAACTTGTGGTTGTTCACTACCTCAAGGTATTCGTCAACAGCGAAAGAGATTAAATTCCTATCGAAGGAATTCGGGACTGTCCTATCAGGCCGAAGAAATTTTTCTGTGATCTTTGAATTAATAATTAAAAACAAAATCTATATACCAATACTCAGCGTAGGTAAATGCAATAAACTTGTATTTTTAAGACTAAATTGTGTTTAAATAATTTATAAAACACTCTCTGGACCTAGAAGATTGTGAACAATTTTATGGATCGGGACATTTTCTTCCCTTGAGGGATTTAAAATTTTTTACGTTTTACTGGCTAAATTCGTAAGCCTCGCACTCCATTAATTGTGAACTCTTAATTGGGCACAATAACAGAAATACTAGAAAGAATTATATGCCAATAATTATAACTTTATTTTGTGATTAAAAAAGGGTGTAGAAACTATATTTTAAGCTTCAATTGCCAGATACTGCGTTTGAAAAGTAAAAAAAACGGATGGCGTCCAAAAATGGAGTTACGAAGTTTTCAAATTTAACCAACGACGATTTAAGTATTTATAAGCATAAAAACCTTAAATTCCTTTGCCTTTGTTTTCGGTACGATTTTTAAAAAGGAAAAGTAATGTTTGTCGCGAAAGTAAATAAATGTCAAATTTTGATTAATATTTAGTCAGTCCCCCTTTTGTGTTTTTCATTTTTTTTCAACAATTTGTTTCTGTAATAGTTGTAGATTCTCTTCTCAGTTTAGTCTGCCTTCGAATATCATTAATAAAGTTATGAGCAATAAAAGCATGAATCATCGATTGTGTTGATGGATACTTTAAAAAAAACTTAAATTGAAAAAACATTGTGTTAAACTCCTCGTAATACCTATTGTGTGCCATCGCGTTACTCGTGCGGAAAAATATCACGTATTAAATCGATCGATTTAAAACCTTGAACGTGAACCGATCGACTAAAACACAATCTACGTAAGTATAAAGATTATGTACAAATAAAAATTATAATATTTTTCGTAATAAGATCTTGAGAGAGTTTTTTTTAATTTCATAATTTTGTCATGTGTGATATGAATCATATTAAAATCATAAAAATAACACGAACTACACAAAGAAAATTAAGTATTATGTTATCTGATGATTTTGTTCAAGAATCTAAACCTCTCTCATCTCATCTCATTTTGCAAATGTGGCCTTATTATAGTAGGGTTGCAAAGTGTGTCATTTACACTATTTTCAGCAGCAATAGAGCTCCATGTGAAAGAATTCGTCC